ACGAGTGACAAAGTCACTGCCACAAGAAGGACAAAGTCCCAACAAGAATGCAAAATGATCAAATAAGCCGTACGAATGGACGATTTAGCAAATATCTTACAATACTTGATATAGTACGAATATAAAAATATAAATTGAAACCAAGAAAAATAAAATATCAAGTTATTTCAACATATTCCAGCAAGCAAAAAGAGTATAAGTTTATACACAAACCTTGGTGTTTTACCACGAAACAGTTCAATCACAACTTTGGGACGTTCGAATCGTCTACGCCGTAAACAAACCAAATCTGTCCACTTCCTCAAACACTTTTCCTTTGATTTTTTTCCAAGGGTTTATATACCTTAAATACATAATCAAGTATCTAAATAAGTTCAGTGATTTAGCAAGTCAAACTAAATATGGTATTGGTGAAAATTACCCAAAAACGTTTGAAACAGAAATTCTGGACAGTATCACTGTTCCGAGTTGTAACTCAGTTTTGAAGATCTACACGGACAAACTAGACTTTCATGTATTCACAAAAGTTTTAGATCTATGTCTTACTGTTTCAGAACATCTTGAATCACCTCCATATCAATTTTGAACAAAAAGTTATGCTAAAATTACTAACAGCAGTACATGGAGTATTTCTAAAACTGAAAATCTGGACAGCACCTGCCCTGTACTTTCTGATCCTTTTTCAGGTAAATACCAACAAAACTAGATTTTGGTTACTTCATAAGAGTTATAGATTTATGAAATACCTTTTCAGAAAGTCCTGGATCACTTAAATTGAAGCTCTGTACAAAAAGATATGTAGAAAATTCTAGTAGGTGTCTAGTATAAAAACGAGTTTAGAAACTAACCAAGAGGAGCAACTTGATCTTCACCAAAAATGAAATTTGCTTGTTGATTTAGTAGAAATCCATGGTTTTTTTCATGAAACTTCAGATTTTCAAGTTTCTACGAAGGAGAGAGATAGAGAGAAGGAGGGATAGATAGAAAGAGAGATGGATAGCTACTCTTCTTTGTCTTGAAGAGTAGAAACAAAATGGTTACTCAACTACTAAATATTCTTAGATAAATACAAAAGGTTGGAAACCAAAACTTAATTATATATTATATTTAATAACAACTCGTCAAAATAATATTAAGTGTTACATATAGCAACATCATGAAACTTTATTGCCAATATTAACACAACCTAAAGTAAGAAATTTTTATATATTGACCATTTCACATTTAGGAAGTGCAAAGTAAAATATTTCCTCGTTATAAAAATGCCCAATCAAGAATGCAAATATTATAAAATATTTTGGGGTGTTACAACTCTCTCCCCCTAAAAAAAAATTTCCTTTTGAAATTTACCTTGTACTAGTCCCGAAACAAATGTGGATATTGAACTCGCATATCCTCTTCTCGCTCCCAGGTAGCTTCTTCGCCTGAATGATTTCTCCAAAGAACTTTCACTAATGATATTCTCTTATTTCTAAGCTCTTTTATCTCACGCGCTAAGATTTGGATTGGTTCTTCTTCATATGTCAAATCAGGATTAACCTCAATAGACTCAATAGGAAGAACATGAGATGGATCTGAGCGGTATTTTCGAAGCATAGAAACATGAAAGACGTTGTGGATCTTACCTAATTCAGGTGGCAAAGCTAGCTTATATGCAACTGGACCAATTCTCTTAAGTGTTTCATAAGCTCCAATGAATCGAGGGCTAAGTTTATCTTTTTGGCCAAATCTTATGATCTTCTTCCATGGAGAAACCTTTAAAAATACCTTATCGCCCACCTGATGCTCAATTTCATGCCTTTTAAGATCAGCATATGACTTTTGTCTGTCTGAAGAAATTTTCAAACGATCCTTGATGATTTTTACCTTATCTTCAGTTTGTTGCACAATCTCAGGACCCACAAATTTTCTTTCACCAACCTCATTCCAACAAAGAGGCGTTCTACATTTTCTCCCATATAAAGCTTCATAAGGAGGCATGCCTATACTTTATTAGTAGCTATTATTGTAAGCAAATTCTATTAGGGCTAAGTGTTTGTCCCAACTACCCTTAAACTCAATAATGCAGGCTCGAAACATATCCTCCAAGATTTGTATTACCCTTTCAGACAGGCCGTCCGTTTGTGGATGGAAAGTGGTACTAAAATTCAACCTGGAACCCAAAGCTTCTTGCAAGCTAGACCAAAATCTAGATATAAACCTCGGATCTCTATCAGACACAATATAAACATGGATTCCACGTAGCTTCACAATCTCATTAATGTACAATTCTGCTAAACGTTCAAGTGAGTAATCCATTCTGATTGCCAAGAAATGAGCACTCTTAGTTAGTCTATCTACAATGACCCAAATTGCATCATGATTTCTTTGAGTGCGTGGAAGTCCAGAAACAAAGTCCATCGTTATCCTTTCCCATTTCCATTCAGGTATTGACAAAGGTTGCAGGAGACCAGCTGGGACTTGATGTTCAGCCTTTATTTGTTGACATACCAAGCATTTAGAAATGAACTCTGCAATGTCTTTCTTCATACCACTCCACCAATAGTGCTCCTTAATGGTCCGATACATTTTAGTACCTCCAGGATGCATTGCATAAGGTGAACTATGTGCTTCAATTAAGATCTGCTTTCTCAATTCATCATCATTAGGAACACACAACCTATTTTTATAAAATAAGGTACCATCTTTCCTTAATGAAAAATTTGATTCTCTTCCATTTTGGACTTCTTCAACCCGTTTCACAAGCTTCTCATCTAACTTTTGTGCTTCTTGGACTTGCTCAAGTAAGACTGGCTTGACTTGCAAATTAGCAATGATAGAACCATTAGAATTAAATGAAAGGCAAACATTCATGGCTCTTAATTCAAGAAGCAAAGGCAAAGGACTTAGAGTTAAACTTGCAAGGGAATTGTGACTCAATGCATCTGCAACCATATTGGCTTTACCAGGACGATAATCAATCGTGCAATCATAATCTTTGATGAGTTCAAGCCATCTACGTTGTCGCAAGTTTAACTCTTTTTGTGTACCCAAGTACTTCAAACTCTTGTGATCAGTAAGTATGTGACACTTCTCTCCGTATAAGTAATGCCTCCAAATTTTTAAGGCAAAAACAATGGCAGAAAGTTCAAGATCGTGAGTGGGATAATTCAACTCATGCGATTTCAACTTTCGAGAGGCATAAGCAATTACTTTCCCTTCTTGCATCAAAACAGAACCCAAGCCACGATGAGATGCATCACTGTATACCACATAATCTTTTCCTTCAGCTGGCAAAGAAAATATTGGAGCTTGTGTCAACAAGGATTTGAGCTTTTCAAATCTCTCTTGACATTTGTCATCCCATACAAATTTGGCGTCTTTCCCCAAAAGTTTGGTCAAGGGAGAAGCTATAATAGAGAAGCCCTTCACAAACCTTCTGTAGTGTCCTGCTAAACCCAAGAAACTTCTTATCTCAGTTGGGGTTTTAGGGAGTTTCCAATCAACAATAGCTTGAATCTTACTAGGATCAACCTTCACACCTTCAGATGATACAATGTGCCCTAAAAAAACCACTTCATTCAGCCATAATTCACATTTGGAAAGCTTCGCGTAGAGTTGTCTCTCTTTCAGAATTTGCATGACAATTCGGATATGTTTATCATGATCTTCTCTATTTTTGGAATAGACTAAAATGTCATCAATAAACACCACCACAAATTGATCGAGATAAGGCTTGAATACACGGTTCATTAGATCCATAAATGCAGCAGGAGCATTTGTCAAACCAAATGGCATTACCAAAAATTCATAATGGCCATACCTGGTCCTAAAAGCAGTTTTAGAAACATCTTGCTCCCTCACATGCAACTGATAATATCCAGATCTCAAGTCAATTTTTGAGAATAAGCTGGCACCCTTCAGTTGGTCAAACAAGTCATCGATTCTA